GGAAAGGTCACCGGACCCAAAACGTTAACTCTGTTTTTTCCTTCACAGATGCTGCCAGATCTGCTGGGCTTTTCCAGCAACTTAGTTTTTGTTGTTTTCTTTAATGAATCTTGGAGTGTGGCCTGTCTTACAACTGTCTTCTAATGCATCAATATTTTTCCTTTAAATAAAAGCACAATATATTCCTTAAATAAAAGCAAAATATTGCAGATACTAGAGATCTGAAATAAAAACAAAATGTACTGCAGAAAGTCAGCAGATCTGGCAGCTTCTGTGGAAAGAAACAAAGTTAACATTGAGGCTGATATGACTCTTAGGAAGATAAAAAAATAACTATTTCTTTCTCGATAGATGCTGCCAGACTTGATGCGTTTCTCCATCACTTTACATTTTTAATTAATTTCTTAAAATTGTTTCAATGTATTCCAACCTTCAATGCTTCCAATTCACTTTCCAGTTGTTTGGAATAAGTCTCGCTGTGTTCTCGAAGCTTTCGTTCCTTTGATGCTTCAGCCATCGAGTCCTCCAACTTGGCTTCCAACTAGGGAGAAAAGAAAATATTCTGCAAACCTGTACACAGTATTTTACATTTATCACCAGCGAAGAAGTGATACGCAAATCATTTTGGTACAAATTCAAATTGATTACTTACTACAAATGTCAGAAACAAAATCATCTTTTTGTTTGTTCAGTCATGGGATATGGCCATTGTTGACTGGGCTAACATTCATTGCCCATGTATAATTGCCCTTGAGAACTTGGCGGTGAGCTTCATTAAGTGGCATATCAAATATTCAAAAATTAAAAGGAACGATTAAAACAAGAGCAATACTTAATTGAACTGAAGCTAAGTAACTCAGTAAATAAAATGTCATGGATATTTGTGGAGTATGACATCATTAATTTTAAGGAGACCAGGTTCAACAGTTCTCAATGAGACTGCAGCACAGCTGGATTAAGGGAGAAAAAAATCTGATCTGGGTACCTTACCCTGCTGGACGTGGGCAAGGCCAGAATTAGGTTCAACTGTGGTTTCTTTCCACCTTCCAGTAAAGTAACCACTAAAAAAGCTTAAATATGTGTCAATAAATAAGCTTAAATACATATAAATAATCACTTTAGTGATTCATCAGGCCATGTCTTGGGGGGGAGGGGAGGAGCAGGATGTGCACAAACTAGTAAAGGAGTGTCAGGAGAGAAGAAGAGAGAAGATCCATATGGTGAGAAGAGGGGAAAGAATAGAAGAGGAAAAGAATACATTTGGTATTGTGTTCATGTCAGCATATTCCACAAAACTGCACTGCATTTAACAATATCAAATATTGTTGGTTCATACGCTCCATAAAAAGAGGATAAATTGCAAGGTGCTATGTATATTACCAAAAGAACAGAACACACTTCACTTATCTTTTATAAATACATTTGTCAAAACATCATTGCTCTTATGTATGGAAAACCAAATTTAGATCTATACTGAATAATTAAAACCACATAGCTGGTACTTCTTCCATTGGTAGCTCATTTTTTCCCTCTTTTCTCGATAAGGTAAAATAATAGTCGCATTATTTACTATTCATAGTCTACTGCAGGCAAATATATTGCACAAGTTTGCTCTGACTTGCATGGTCCCCCAAAATAGTGCTTATAACACTAAATCTCAGATCCATCACCAGACAGTTGAAAAACATGGAGACTGAAAACTGCTGTGTCATTTTTATGCTAAGATTAGCATTGTAGAATTACGATTCAAGATTTACTTCCTCAAGCCGAAACAATTATAATGCATAGCAATTTATTAGGAAATGTTATCTTTACAGATTACGAGTGATTGATGTGAATCCATTTTCAGTTGTTAAACATATGAATATTTAAATATAGTGCCTGTAACAGCACGCTGCCACGTATATCTGGCTTACATAAAAGTTATGCTATGATCATTTTCCTTGCAAACCCAGAAAATTGTAGGGAATAATAAAACAATGAAATTATGTAAACTAGACTTATTCTTCTCTGATTCCTCTCAATGATGTTGCATCAGCACAAATTTCTCAGAAAACAGTTTTGTTTGTACTTGAGAATATTGATCTGGCGAGAGGTAGGTCAAAGTTGAATTGTTGTTTTGTCAACATATGATCTGACATTTTATTTCCAATTATTATCAAAATTAGAATCTAAGGGAGGGACAATGATGTGGAGGAAATCGTTAAATACTGGAAGATATTTATCAACTGTTGTTCTTGACATTATAAAATTAAGATAGAAAATTGGGAAAAACAGACAAACGTGATCAAGGAACTAGAACAGGCCACTCAGCCCTTTGAGCTTCCTCCGCCATTTGAGAAGATCTGTTCTTAACCTCAACTGTACATTCCTGCATTTCCTGACAAAAACTTCAACCGCTTGGCAATCAAAGATTTAGCTACTCTGCCCTCTATTTAAAGATTCTGCATCCAGAAGGGAGTTCCAAAGATTCACAACCTTTAAAAAAAAGTTTCTTCCTCTGTTTCAAATGAGCAACCCCTTATTTTTAATCTATGACATCTACCTTTCTCAAGAGGAAACATCCTTTCAACATACACCCAGTCAAGTCTCTCAGGATCTTGTGTTTTAATTAAGTCACCACTGACTCTTCCAAACCCCAAAGAGTACAGGCCTAGTCTGACTGGCCTTTCCTCATTCGGCAATCTGCTCATTCCAGGAATTAGACAGGTAAACCTTGTCTGAATTGCTTCCAATGTAAGATTTCTTCAGAAAAACATTCAACATTGTCAACTGAACCGGAATTGGGAAGCCTATCATTTTTTTCTGAAGTTGTAGTCCAACACAGACAGGCACAAATGTTCAGTTGGGTGATTCAAAGTTTTCCTCCAGCAACGTAACTAAAATAAAACTTGCTTACTATCATCTTTAGACCTTACTACTCATCAATAGAAGTCCACATATGGAAACAGCTTAGAATTTATTTTTATATCAGTACTCTAACCTGGCAGATGCAGACAAAAAGAAGAAAAAAGATCAAAAGTTGAAAGATGTAACATGGATACAATGTGGCAATTATGAAGCAACTGTTGATTGGAAAGGAAAGTTAGTAAGGAATTGCATAAATGACTGAGAAACTGTGTAGATCTCTGCCTTTCTTTCTAATTTTACCTAGCCACACATCTCCAGTGCATTCATAATTAGTTACACTGTGTTGAGTGTTTTGATTTGACACTGAAAACAAAGTAGATTTCTTTCAGAATGAAGAAACTTACATTAGATGTTTTGAATATTTGGTAAAAGCCAAAGGCAAGAATTAAAATTGTCAAACACACGATGAAAACTCATCTGAGAAGTTGGAAAATAATAAATTTAAAATGACAATAACTAGCACACTCAAATCTATTGTTTTCATTGTTTCTCAACTGCTATTATTCCTTTAGCATTTTTATATCTTTTGCTGCTCTTTCCTAAAGCTCTAACTCAGCGCTTCCCAAAGTTTTCCCTCATGATCCCATTTGGAAGACTGAAGTAACTGTCCTGAAAACAAAGCATATTGGATCATTAGCTTGTCAATCTGCACCAGATTGGCTACTCTGGGTACTTGGTCAATAAGCTCTGCCCTAATGTTTAGCACTTCTCAAGCATTGTCCTGGGCCCTGCTCCACTCCACAGCCACCACTACAGGTTCAGGAGTCACAACCTCCAAATTTTGTCAGTTGACTCCACTGGGGATCCAGACCCCTCAGTTTGAAAAACCTTGCTTTAACTGTTTTGTCAATGCTTTTGTTTCTTTCTCATATTGGTTTTCGATTAGAGATCAAAAAATAGTTTTAACAAGTGCTAAGTTAATTTATAGAAATACTACTTACTATGCAACAATAAATACTTTTCCAAACATGTAAAATGTGACTACGAACACCTTAAGTTAGTTGGTAACTTACCTCCTTTCTGGTCCTCTCTGCTTTTCGGATATCTTGACGCATTGTGTCAATTTTCTGCATAGCTACTTCCAACTCTTCCTCTTTGTCACGGAGATTTCGGGACAACTTCTGTTTTTGCGAGCGCAACTCTGCCATCCGTTCATTAAGTTCGGAGAACTCCTGCATTGCAATTTTCCTCTGCTGATGTGCATCCTTCAATTCCTTTGTTTGGGACTTTTGTCTTTCAAGAGTTTCAACAAGTTGCTATCAAATTTAAGGGTTAGAAAAACGTTAAATTTGCAGAATTTAAGAATTTACTACAACTTTAGCTGTATTATACTACAAGTACTAATTTCAAATTGAGCTATACTGTGAACTGCACAAAGCTCAGTGACAAAGGAGCCCAGCCCATAGTCTAGTCCCAAGCATAGTTAATTTTGAACATTAGGAAAAGGATAAGCAACACTCCTCGTGGTATTTTAAAACTTGAGAAAGTGTAAAGAATGCCTTTAAAATTTGGCTTGACAAATTTAGAACTGTACCATACTACATCAGTGCGAAGGTTACATGGTGTGAGCCTACTTACTGGAAGTGGTCTTATACCACTGTTCTTTAGGACACTCAGAAGTCATTAAGCTGAAATCGCATGACACAAAGGAAAGATGCTAAATACATAGACCTATCTGCATTTAAAAAATCTCATAGGATAGTATTAAAGTAAATGTGACTGGTATCTGCAGGAAACACTGGTATTCACAAAAGTGCACTATGCAATTTCAAACATCAGGCTATCACTTGTTGCAAAAATAATGCTGAGGGGCAGATAGATGTCTAAAACTCCAACATCCAAAAGCTCTTATTGCACTGTTCCATTATCAGCTTTACCAACAAGGCAATTCGCTCCTTGATCACCACTGAAACAGAAAAAAAACACTTTCAACCTTAAATTAGCATCGAGGGTTTTTATTCTGCAAGGATTAACTGGTTAAGATTGTAATAAATTAAGTATCAGTCGAGTCCAGTCATTCGTTCCTCAGGAACTTTTTGGCCTGAGTCATGGATAGTAGCATAAACAGAACTACAGGTTGCTTACACAGCTGAGATTAGAGAATCAGTTAAGTTTCCACTCTTGAACATAAATGTACGGGTGGTTGCTAGACAGTACTAAGTGGTAATTTCCCCTACAGTTGAATAAGCCAGCAATACCATTGGTCAAATTCCCACTTAGGTGAGGAACTATGATTGATTCATGTGTAAACTGTGCCCAAAGCAAGGATTCAGTCTGCGGAAAGTGATAAATAACTGTAATAAGATGCAACTTTAATATAAGCACAGTCTAGGTTTTTTTATTCTTTGTAAGAATGATACGTGGTAGGCTCATTTCTAGACCACTGCAATTCGAGTGTGAATCCCAGATGTCAATCTCAGTTCAACAATTTATAATCAAAATTACACAGACCAGTATGCAGGATTAGAAAGAATGCTGATCCCCCAAAGATGCTTGAAGAAGGGCCAGACAGTTTTTTCCCCCCTAGTCAGGAAGTTCAATTGGTTAGTTGAGTGTCTTTTCAATTTGAAAAAATTTGGAATTTACATTATAAAAGTCAATTTATGATGATATTGCAATGTCAGTAAAAGTAACATGCAACAAGATCTCAATACTTTTAACCACACCATGTAGATTTATTAAAAAGACAGTGAAAAACAAAATGAAAACCTAAATAACCTGATAATAACAACATTTAAGTAGATAGGATGATACATTATATAAGCAGGAATAAGACCCTGCTCTGCCATTCAACAGGATCATAATTTAAATTTTACATCTTTCTGCTTAAACCTTGATTTCCTTGGAGCTCAAGTGTAGAATATTCTGAATGGAGAACAGAATTGCAAAGATTCACCATTTGAGTGAAGAAACCCACATAATCTTAAATATTCCACCTCATGCTGAGGCAACAATCTCAATTTCTACACTCAACAGCCAAGGGAATTAAAACAACCTCTCTATAACCTATCAAGCCCTCCAAGTAATTTTATATATACCAATGAAATCACTTTTCATTCTTCAGAATTTTCCACTTAGAGTCCATCTGCTAGCTTCTTGGTCTAACACTGGAGCTTCCTATATCATATACCCTTTATATCCTGGTCACAGCTTAAATTCCCGGTCTTCATATTATCAACAAACTTGGATATATTGATCTTGGTTTCCTTGTTCAAGTCATTGATATAAATTGGCCAAGGCCCCAGTACTGATGCCTGTGATAATCCACTACTTTTGATGTTCATATTGAATATTAAGCAGATTTATTCCTACCATTTTCTGTTCATTAACCAATCCTTAATCCATGCTAACATATCATCCTCAATCCCATCAGCCCTCATGTTTTCTTACATATGGTTTGCTAACTTATCAAATGTCTTCTGAAAATACTAAAATAAGTTACACAGTTTCCCTTTATCTATATTACTAATTAAACTATTTAAAAAACTAATAAAGTTGTCAAATATTTTATCTTTTATAAAAGTTGCATTGATTCTGCCTATCCTTGATACAGTTTTTCCAAGTATCCTGTTTTCATGTCCTTAGAGAGACAAACTGGCATTTGCCATACTATGTATTTCAAATTAACTGGCCAATAGTTCAATGCTTTCACATTGCAAAGTTTTCTGCTTCCCTGGGGTAGTATGCTGGAAATACGTCCCTGCTAGTCCCCATGTCATCACAAAAGTTAAAAATTTTATGAAAATATGCAAAACCCCCAATTTACCTGGCTTTTAGGCTCAGATTGACAGAAAGCACAGACCAGGTTTCTCCATTTAACAAGACTACTACTTATAACAAAAATAGATTCTAGCTACAGGTAAACAACTATAAACTGTTGACATATAACTCTAATAGCTAAAAAAACTGACCCCCTTATAAACTCCCCTCTGCACACATACAATAAAACATAAAAACACAGGGTATTATGGGTTGAAGGCAGGACTGAGGTAGGCAGGTCAGTGGTCTCTGACCACAGGGTTCGCTGAGCAGATCCTTTAGGTTTTCAGGACTTGCTGCTCCTGGAAATTCTTTCTCAAGGTACTTCCACTTCTCTGCAGGAGGCACAAGGTGGCTGGTTCACACTTATAAAGTCTCTAATTTATTGGTGAAAAACCACAGCTTACAGAAACTGATGGGGGGGAAATAAATACAATTTCTTTGTGCTTCAGTTTTTTTTTTTTAAAAACTGCACAAAAAACAACAACTCCATTCTCTTCAGAAGTCTGATAGTTTCTGATGAAATATTCACACCCAAATGCTGTTCAGCTACATGACAACCAAAGATGTCGGCAAGCAGAGGCCTTTGCCATCGACAGCTGGTCACCATTTCGCTACATGTTGTCAGCTGAATTTACCTTCATTAACACCCCTGGGTCCAGTTTATCTAAAGTATCTTCTGCAATAAATAGCAGTGACAATGCGTGTGGGTAACCTGTTTTTAAAAACTGCAGTAGTCCTTGACTTTTAAAACATAGTATTTTTCCCATTTCAGTCCACAATCAAAATTATGCGGTATGATTGTAGTTTCTCCCCATGATACCTATCCACAGCTTGAACACTAAATTTGTGATCTAAAAACGTGGATTAAATACATGTTTCACTATTATCTTCAAAAGCAAATACAAGAAAGCCTCGTTTTAACATTGCGCCGGACAATGTTATTTTGCGTAAATGGAGGTTTCCAATCAGAACACATCATATGCATTGTTCTCCTGCGGTTACACGTTGCATACAACTAAACATTCCCATGTATTTCATATATACCTCCCTAAGTGGATATAGTGGGGAGCAGACGCTTGAGAAGCATTAATGACCCTCAGACTGTTTTGTATAATGTATTTTCCAGGAACCAGCAAAAGACATTAAGCAACGGCATGATATAACACTTTAGATTTGAAGATTATGTCTTTTACTAATCCATGCTAATTAACTAGCTGCATATTGCAAACAGCTTTATTTAAAAATGACGTTTTAGGGATTTGCACTGTTTCTGTTAGATTATGGGACTATTTTAAAACTTCACTAATGCTGCTTTCACGACTGACCTTATGAGATATTGATACACCAATAATGATTTTACAAGGCACTTCAGATTATAATAGCCCCTGTTAATCATTGCCAACTAAGATTTGTTTGTAATAATCAAAATTTAATTGCGTACCTTGTGATTTTCTTCTTTTTCTTGTTTAAGTGCTTTAATCTGTTTTTCTAGTGCTTTTACTTTGTTTGTACTTTCCTCAAAATCTTGGCGGAGAGAGACTGCATTTTCAAGTTGATGTTCTAACCGATCAGATTCTAAAAAGAAGTATAAAAAGAAAATGGAACCATCCACAACTATAATTTACATTTAGACTGGCAGTTAAAACAGCATTTAAGTCTTTTTGAACATTTTTGTCTGCTTAAGTCACCTTTAAACCTTCATGATAAGTACACACGACAAATTAACATCTTTCACTCCCAAAATATGGGGCATAAATAGAAAAGAGCATTTTTATAAGCAACAAGTAGTTTTTTTTTTAAACAATTACCTTAATTATATCATAATCCTGTGATTTCAACCCCATAGAATCAATGTTATTGCTGTACCAGAGTTTACCAGGATTCTTTGCAACTTCAAAATACTGATTATGTTTAAACAAAAAGCACTACCGCAGAATCCTATGGACTTTAATGAAGTGCACCTCAGTGCTATTTTGTTTTTTATACAGTTACAAATAAATTCAGAGACCAGTGAATCAAAAGAAAGGATTGCACATATAAACAACAGTGCTCAAGGAGCCAAATAACACACGTGATTCTCCTATTAAAGCATAAATCTCCTAACTGGATGTCAAACGGGACAACTCGATGAAGCATGATCCAAATGTGGAGAATGCTCAAATATTTTAAGCATCTTTAATGCACCAGCACTTTGAAGTACTCATCTCTGGACATTTACCTGGCAAAAATGTCCAAAAGCAACTTCTTGAATTTCAAATAATTCAGAAACTTGATCTAAAATGTAGACTATGTTCATTCCAGAAGGTCTTAGATACACTGATGTTCCTCTCAGAGTAAGGATAAGGGATATAATGGGAATCAGTGAGCAGACTTTTGAAATGATGGATTTATTAAGCTTTGGATATCGTGTGGGACAAGTACAGGTGACCAAAGGCAGTGGTAAAAAGCACAGAACACAGAACTGTCTCTATGCAGACTTTGAATGAGATCACATGCCGAATCTCTACTACTCCATTTCATTATGAATTAAAGAAAACAGTTTAAAACATGGCCATTATATATCATCCAATCATAAATGATTAAACAATGTCTATGATGTGACTAGGCTTGTTCTCTGAAGGAGATACTTCACTACCAGTTCACAAGTAAGCTATATGTATCTAGTTAAAGATCTTTTTGATAATTTTCAACTACTAATAAAACGTGATTACTGATCTGAGCATATTTCAAGCTTCCAAGCAATGGTAGGTCAAGCTCTAGTTAACGAGAACTGTTTGGTTATGTTAAGAAGTGGCTGAGGAATGTTTTATCTACAGTTTGCTGCATTAGCTGTCTTTGTTTAGACTGAATTGATTTTAGCTGTTTGTTATAAGAAATGTCTCAAAATATAGAATCATGTCACATGATCTTTATTTCATTGCAAATCAATCAAATATACTAGCTTCAATTCATAGTAAAATATCTTTTGTCCTCTGGTACTGATTGTTTATTCGTAGGATTAACAACATTAATCTTTTTCAAAACAAAATACATACTTGTTTCCCAGAAAGCAGTTATTTCTATAAATGCAAAATTTGAGATCCAATGGGAATACAAGATGCAAATACATATTAACCAGGTACAACATATAAACATGTAGCAGGAGTAAGCCATTTTGTCCCCCTTAAACCTTTGCCATTTAAAAATATGACAGCTGATCGGATTATAACTTCATACCCATATTCCAGCCCACCCCGATGTCCTTTCATATTCTTAAGAATCTATCTACCACTGCCTTAAAAATAATCAAAGACTCTGTTTCTACTGCTTTTTAAGGAACAGTTCGAAAGACACACACACACACCCCCTCCAAGACCAAAACAAAAATCACCTGTTTTAAATGGACTACTCCTGATTTTTAAAAAGGGATCCTTATTTTTAGACTTTCCCATAAGAGGAACCATCCTCCCCACATAAATCCTGTAAAGACCCCTCAATCTTATATGTATCTATCATGTCACCTTTCCTAAGCTAAACTAGAGGTGGCACAAGCCTAGCCTGTTCAAGCACTTCCTCACAGGACAATCCATTCATTCTACATATTAGTCTGGTAAACTTTCTCTGAACTGCTTCCTTAATTAATCCTTCCTTAAGGAAGTACCACAGTACTCCAGGCGTAGCTTCAACAATGCCATATAAAATTGGAGCATAGCTCTCTACTTCAGTATTCAATGCCCCTCACAATTAGCTTTATAAATTATTTACTGTATCTGCATACTAGCCTTTTATGATTCATACCAAAACCATCTGCATTTCAGAGGTCTGCAATCTCTCACTCTTCTATATTACATTTTTCTTTCCTTGCTAATATGGACAATATCACTTTTTAAAACACAGTATACTCCCATTTGTCAAATCTCTGCCCTATTCATTTTCATAGCCTCCTTGCATGCTCTTCACAACTTACCTTCCCACCCATCTTCATGTCATCAGCAAAAGTAGCAACAACGTCATTGATATAAACGTTAAACAGTTGAGTTCCCAGCACAAATTCCTTGCCACCATTTGTTGTATATTGCCAGTGAGAAAAAGGACTCATTTATGCCTAATCTCTGCTTCACGAGCCAGCCAATCTTCTATCCATGCCAATGTATTAATCCCTACACAGCTTTTATTTTCTGTAATAACCTTTGATTTGACACCTTATCAAATGCCCTGTGCAAATCTAAGTACAATATTTCCTCCAGTTCTCCTTTATGCACAAAATGTGCTACCTCCTCAAAGAACTCCAATAAATTTGGTAAACACATTCTCCCTTTCACAATGCAACACTACCTCTGCCTGATTACCTCATTGTTAACTTAATTGCCCTGCTGCAACTTCTTTCATTATAGTGTCTAATAATTTCCTGTGAGTTTCCCCACATTTACATTTACTACCCATCAAGCCAAATCCAGGGAGTTTCAGAATGTTAAAACCAATCAATCACTTGCTACTTCTTTTAAGACCGTCAGATAAAATCCATCAGAACCTGACTACCTAATAGCCCTCAGTTCCAACAATTTATTCAGTCTCACTTCTCCAGTGATTGCAATGTTTTCGAGTTCCTCCCTCCCTTCAGATCTAACGGTATTACAATAGAGCAAAGGCAACTGCAAGACATGAGCTGGCCAGAGCTAACATAGAAGGGGAGCCTAGCAGTGAAGACAGTGGAACAGCAATGGCAGGAGTTTCTGGGGGTAATCAGAAAGGCATAGCAGAAATTCATCCCAAAGAAGAAGAAACATATACAATGGGGAGCCTGAGGAAGCCATGGCTCACGAAGGAAGTCAGGGACAGTATAAAACCAAAAAGAAAAAGCAAACAATGTGGTGAAGATTAGAGGGAAGCCAAGGATTAGGAAGTCTTTTAAAACCAGCAAAGGACAAGTTTCCCTAAAAATCCATGAATATCATAGTCAGACTGCAGCTTGTGGTGTGCAGCCATCTGAGGGGCAGAGAGAGAGCGCCAGTCCTGTACCTGAAACAGAGAAAGTGATCAACATACAGAAACCAGGCAGGACATTGCACTAATATTGAAGAGGGAGTTTGTGAAGATTTAAATGAGTGTCGAAGATTTGCTTAGCTTGAGCCAGAGGGAAAGTATCAATTAGTGCAACTCTCAAAATCAGAGGCAGTTCTGTGATCAGAGGTTATCCGACTGGGAAAATAAAAAAGGGATACTAGCCTTTTATGATTCATTGGGAACAAAGAACAATTTTAGACTGGTCACTACAGGATTAAATGTTCTCTTAAAAGGGCAGTGTTAGGTATAACTGTGGGAGATTTTTGATTGTGTTCAGATTTTAATGGAGAATCTCTTTTCTGTAGTTTAAAGTACAATTGCCTACAAAAAGAAAGTAGCATTTAGAACCATGCTTTTTAGTCACCGGTACAGTAAAAGTTTTAAAATTTGGAATCTTGACTTTTTTGTTTACAAATTAACTTCCCAAAGCCCATCATCTACAACACACAAGTCAGGCGTGTGATAGAATACTCCCCACTTTCTTGAATGAGTCCAGCTCTAACAACACTGCAGAAGTTTGACCATTCAGGACAAAGCAGGCCACTTATTTGGCACAAACATTCATTCCATCTATCCGGTGCTCATTCCGGTGCTCAGTAGCAGTGTGTATCATCTACAGAATGTTCTGCAGAAATTCTCCAAGGCTCCTTAGATAGCATCTTCCAAAGCCATGATCACTACCATTTAGAAGGACAAGGGCAACAGATAAATGGAAACTCCATCATCTGCAAGTTCTCTTTCAAGCTGCACACCATCTGAACTCGGCAATACATCATTGTTCCTTCAGCATTGTTGGGTCAAAATCTTGGAACTTGCTCCAGCTATTATGGTCTACTGAGAGCAAACGAATTGCACGGTTCAGGAATGCAGCTCACCACTTCCTTCTCAAGGGGAACCAGCGATGGGTAATAAATACTGGCCCAGTTAGTGATGTCCTATCCCATGAATTAGTAAAAAGAAAGTCAGTACGGTATATGGCTTTGAGCAGAACTCACAAATTGTGATATTCCCAGGTATTTGCTGCCCTTGTCCAAGTTGGTAAAGGTTGCAGGCTTGAGGTTGTTAACTGCAAGTTCTGATTTCTTTGTAAAAATCAATTGTCTGTACGGAGATTACAAAATGACCAAAATCTGGTTACTTGACCATTACAATATGGTCACACTGCAGGCAATATTTACATAATTGGAAGACACTAAATGTAAGGCAGAATATCCAAAAGATTGGACTGGGTTGAATGGCAAGTGGAATTGTTGATAATAAAAAGGAACAAGATGATCGTTTGGCACAGTGGTGGTGTTCGGGTTCAAAGCCCATATCATAGGATCCCTACAGTGTGGAAACAGACCCTTCGGCCCAACCAGTCCACACCGACCCTTGGAGCATCCCACCCAGACCCATCCCCCTATAACCCACATCCTACCCACAAGTTACACGTCCCTGAAAACTATGGGCAATTTAGCATGGCCAATCCACCTAGCCTGCACATCTTTGGACGTGGGAGGAAACCCACACAGACACGGGAAGAATGTGCAAATGCCATGGAGGCAACATTTCTGAGCAGGGTGATAAAAATATTGTTTTACAAAGCGTGCTGGAGAACAAAAAAAGAAAATTAATCAGAGTATGAACCACTGAATACAAAAGAGACAGAAGGATTCACTTCTAAAAAAAGATATTAACAAATATGGCTCTGGTGTTAACAGGGTTGGGAAATCTTTAGGATTATTTTCAGGTCTCCAGGAAATAAAAAATCCTATGGATAAAGGTTAAAACAACCCAGAAGAAAATCATGGGGCCATCAAAAACTTCTGAATGGTTTCATTATTAATCAAAGCATTGAAAGTTTTCAAAAAACTTGTTCGACTGTTTGGAAACAGGTCGTCATTTGGTGAACATTCCAAGAACATGTCCAACCAGAGTTGGCAGCCCTCCTCTAGGGGAGGCTACATAATAATTTGCTTAGAATTGACAGTACCTAATTGAAAATCTTTGAGAGGGTCAAGATAATGATGGATGACTTATGGAAGTGGCTGAGATGAAAGGTCAGGAGAACTGCAATTTTTCAAGAGAAACAGCTATGCTGAAAACCATGTTGATGATCAAGGACTAGAAAAACAATAACGAATAACTTGCAGGTCAATACTATCCTCCATCAATGAAGAAACATATTGTGAAACCTAATAAAAACCGGAAGAACTGCGGATGCTGTAAATCAGGAACAAAAACAAAGTTGCTGGAAAAGCTCAGCAGGTCTGGCAGCATCTGTGAAGGAGAAAACAGAGTTAACGTTTTGGGTCTGGTGACCCTTCCTCAGAACTGATGGTGGCTGGGAAAACGTCAGTTTATATTGTGAAACCTGATAGGTTAAACAAAACCACATTTACTAGGAACAGAGGTATAATGAATAAATCTACAAAAAAAGTTCGATATGACAGACAGAAGTCAAAATATGATAAATGAATGTACCTGCCAACTTTTTTCTCAGTTTGTCCATTTCCTCATTTAACTTCTTGATTTCCTTATCTCTGCTGATAGTTCCCATTCCACGTGTTGAACTATGAAGTGACTGTGCTGCCTGAGTGGATTCTAAAACAAAAGTATGTTAAGCTTAATTTCAGAATGATAAATGAAGGAGACCTGCGAATCATTATAACAAAACGTTCAAATTTTATTGTACTTCAACAATTAAGTGTTTCAAGGTACTTCACAAGATCATTATAAAGCAATGTATGCACTGAGTCATAGTACATTAGATGACCTAGTCAAAGCTTGGTCCAAGAGGAAGGTTTAAAGGCATGTCTTAGAAGAAAGTGAGATAGATAATCAGGGTGGTGTTTGGAACCTTGACAACTGAATACATGGTTACCAATGGGGGAGCCATTAAAACTAGGGTGGCACATGAAACCAGAATTAGACTGCAAATAACTTGGGTGGGTTGGGAAGGTGGAGAAGACCTAAGGATCGGGAGCATGAGGTCACAGAGGGATTTGGAAACAAGATATTGCTTGACCAGGAGCCAATGCAGGACAGCTAAAATAGGAAAATAGAGGAATGAGACCCGGTGGAAGTTAAAGCAGAGGCAGCAGAATTCTGGACTACCTCAAGTTTATGGAGGGTAAAATATGGGAGACCACCTAAGACTGCACTAGAATAGTTAAGATTAGAGGCAAAAGTGATGAATAAAGGCCAAAGTAGCAGATGAGCTAAAACAAGGGTAAAGTTGGGCAATGTTATAGAGGTAGAAATAGGTAGTTTCAGTGATGGCACAAAAATGAGGTCAGAAGTTCAAGTGTGACCCTGAGGTTGCAAACAGACTGTCTTAATTATAGACTGTTACCAGGGTAACAGTTGGAATTGTAGCTAGAGAACAGAATTTAGAGCAGGGTTCAAAAACAAAGTCAGTTACTAGGAACAGAAGTATAACAAATAAATCAACAAAAAAAAGTTGGATATGACAGTCAGAAGCCAAAATATGATCAATGAATGTACCTGCTAACTTTTTTCTCAGTTTGTCCATTTCCTCATTTAGATACTGGGCTGAGCTGAATCTTACCAAAAATCAGCTCATTGACATTTCTGGCAATTTTCATTAAGGTCTTTCTTTGTGAACCCTAGCAAGTTTTCTTATGCTATCTTCCCAAAGTTGCTTCATGACCAGTGTATGGCACACCGTTTGTCACATACCCCCACTTACCACTACCAGGTCATCCCAGGATTCCTGGTGCTGGTGCCATCTTTAAAGCCCAGCCACGCACTGTTTGTGTCATTTGCCCCAGACATGTCAGACAGAGGGAAACTGGCACTCCACTTTTCTGATGGATATTTGGGGTTCCTGGTGAACAGAGTGGGGGAGATCTTGCCAATTGATCATGCCATGACATGTTGATGGCTGGTGGAAACCAAAGAAGCAAATGGTGAGCTGGAGTCCCCAGGCCATCGTTCTAATTTTCACATCTGGAATTATCATCAAGTCTATCCAAAGGGTGGGATAGTGGGAAACTGCAAATCATTGAGGCGAGATGACATAATCATGAGGATGTTAGTGCATGCTAATGCAAGCAAATAGGCCTCTTGCTGCTCACTAGGGAGAATACCATATCAACAATTCAGCACTTAATTGGGAAAAAAGGACTTTGTCCTCACTCTCCTCACTGCCAATCTCTCACAATTTCCCAACTTTCTCACCAACGCCCACATCACTCAGTGCCTGGGGATATTCTGCCCCTAGTCTTTTATAGTTTTCCATTTTTAGATCTATCATTGGTTTTGAATTCTGATGAATACCCAAAACCACTAAGTTTCCTTTTCCCTTTACAGATGTCAACTGATCTGCTGTGCACTTTTCTAGGATTTCCCCATTATTTGAATCTCAAAATTACCTTGCAGTTTCCTGGTTAGTTCTAGTTTTTCCTGTTCAAGTCTGCAGATTCGCCTCTCGTAAGCCTCTATTTGCAAACTGTTTTCCAAGTCTATTCGTACATCTGCGTCCCCATCAATTGAATCTGATCGCATAACTTGTCGCAAAGAAGCTCTGTCTGACAAAGGACTGAAACAGCAAATCACATTACTCGCTACTGCATTCTAAACATCAGATAGCTAGCTTATAAAGCATTAATTGTTAATTCAATTAAAGTAGCCAAGCAATCGCAGGAGCTCATGTTGAATAAATTCTTTCCCCAAACTCAGTGTCCTACGTCTTTAAGTCAGAAATGTAGCCACTGTTGCCGTGTAAAGAAACTCACCAGTCGATTTTTGTGCATCAATATTCCACAAACAGCAGTGAAACAAACTACCAGATTATCTGTTTTACTGATATTATTTACAGAATGCATGCTACCCAAGGCACTTGGCAAATGCTCCCACTCTTTTTAGAATAGTGTAAAATGACTTTTTTTAAAAACACACAATTAAGGAGGCAGACAGAACAATGGTTAATGCCTCAAATGAAAATCTCGGGTGGCACAGTGGCTCAGGAGGTTAACACTAGTGCCTCACCATGCTAGGGAGCAGGGTTTAATTCTACCCTTGGACAACTGCTGGTGTGCAGTTTGTCTGTCTGGGTTTCCTCTCATGATCAAAGACATGCAGGCTAGGTGGATTAGCTATGTGAAATGCAGGGTTACAGGGATAGGGTGGGGAGGTGGGCGTGGGTGGGATGCTCTTCAGAGGTTTGCTTCGGACTGGATGGGCTGAATGGCCTGCTTCCACACTGTAGGGATTCTATGATTCGATGAAAAACTTAATTCCCAAAGTCAAATCATTCCCTCATTGCTGCACTTAAACTGCAGCCTAGGTTACGTGCTCAAATCTCTGGAATAGAGGTTGAACAAATGACTCTTCAGAGAAAGAATGCTTTTGCCATGCCAAAGTCAACATGTTTGGTCGTATCACCATACTGATCATGTGGTGAATCGACAATTTTCAGGTCTAATGACCTGGAGAACTTAAATTCAAAAACAACATCACTTAATTATTGTGCAGCTTACTGCTAAGTGTGATAAAAATACTGAATTGCATCCAATGATATGCATTTTACATTTAGTTAACAATAATAGCCCTGTAAATTATTGCATAAACGTGTATTGATGGGTTGAATATAGCTGATTTTTTTTATTTAACCATATAGTTGGTTCTAATTTTAAGTCAAAGGTTAAATATATTATGGTATTAAGTTGGTGTTAAATTATACAGGACATGCACAACTTAACAGATTAAGCAAGTGAACAGCCGAACCAAGTGGATTAAGATGACCCAGATTCGATCCCTGTCCTGTGGTCATAAGCTGATCACAGTTGTGCTTTTAGACAGCTCTGCAATTGTCTTCAGAACCTTTGGGCCAAGAAGAAATCAACAAGATTTCTGCACCTAGAGTCAGTCATACAGCATAGAAACAGGCCCTTTGATCCAACTCGTCCATGCCGATCAGATATCCTAAACTGACCTAGTCTGATTGGCCAGCATTTGATCCATATCCCTCTAAACTGCTCCTATTCATACACCCATCCAAATGCCTATTAAATGTTACAATTGCGTCCGTCTCCACCATTTCCTCTGGCAACCCGTTCTATACACGCACCATCTTTTGTGAAAAAGTTACCCCTCAGGTCCTTTATAAATATTTCCTTTAAACTATTTTCCTTTCCCTTTCTCACCTCAAACTATGCACTCTACCCTGGGAGAAAGACCTTGTTTATTCATCCTATCCATGCCCGTCATGATTTTGTAAACCTCTATGAAGTCACCCTTCAGCCTCCGACGCTCCACAGAAAAAAGTCCTAAGCCTATTCAGCCTCTCCCTATAACTCAAACCCTTGTAAAATCCTTGTAAATTTTTCCTGCACCCTCTCAAGTTTAGTAACATCTATCCTATAGAAGGGCGACCAGAACTGTACACAGTATTCAAAAAGTGGCCTCACCAATTTCCTGCACATCTGCAACATGACATCACACTCCTGTATTCAATGTTCTGACCAATGAAGGCAAACTTGCCAAACATCTTTTTCACCACCCTGTCTTGTAATCTCTGCTCAAAATATTTTATGGATATCACAGAAGGATAGAATCATGCTCATAAATCATGTCCCATTTTGGACAAATAGGTCCCACATCAATTCTGACCACTTAAGGTAGAAATGTTTCTGATACTCAATTTGGAACCATTAAAAGATCAGTTTCATTCAAGAGAAAGTTAATTTTATCCATAGTAATCAAGGAAAACAAAATATTCCTTACAACAAAAACAGCCCATCAGCTATACCATTTAAAGTTAGTATCAAGCATGTGCAATGATTTGCACAGTTTTTTTTATTATTCAGGGGATGTGGACTTTGCTGGCTTGGACAGCATTTATTGCACATCCATAAATATACTTGAGGGGGTGACGGTGAGCTGTCTTTGTGAAATTGTCAGTCCATTTAGTATGGTGAATCCATGGAGCTGTTAGGGAGTTCCAAGATTTTACACTAGGACACACGTAAATGGTAGTATGGTTTGTTTTTATTAACGAGCACGTGGTCATATTTTAGATGGGAAACAAAGCAAGGATCTTTGAGGTGTTTTCTGGTTAGTAAATATAGATATGATCCACCTGTTACAATAGTACATTTTGTTTACTATATGCACTTAAACAAAACAAAAGCAGAATTAAAATTAAGTGCCTGAATTGCTCTACCTGCTGGTGGTAAATGTGAAGCCTACAAATGGCAGATGCAGTCCAGAAAAAGCAGTGTGAGTGGCTGGAGGCACCAACTCCTAAGATAAAGAAAAGCACAAGGAAAAATGAAGAGTTTTAAATCAATAAATTGTAATAATGTTGTCTGAACATTGGTTATAAAAAAGTGCAATTAAAATATAAAAGGATAAAAGAAACATATTATCCGTCTTAAAATCATTACAATGGTACGAGTATACTTCTTCAGGACAGCATACTTACTCTGGGGTCAATTTAAGCATAGATTTGTCCCATTACTCCAGCTACAGCAAAACAAAAGTTGGCTAGATCCATTTATGTATACTCCTCATTCTCAAATATTTGTATCCCCTCATCTAATTTAAAGCTAGTGCCAATCTGGATTCGCTTGCCGAGCCAGCAAATTACATCTAAATTCTGAACAGATTCTCTCCCAAGACAAATCAGATTTGAAAATCCTGTTAGTTATATGCTTCTCTGGCAGAAAAGCAAAAACAGGAATTTGGCCCCATTATATTGGCAGGTTTAAAAGAAAGGCTGAGTTTTCGATTAGTGAAAACATGAAACCACTGCTGGTCCATCTCCTTTGGAAATTTTAAGAAATATTTAACTGGGTTAGGGGGATTGAGGTGGAAGAGAGTGAAGCGGATCTACATTTTGCTTTATTACTAGTGACTATACAATGTGGATCTCTAACCCAGTATTTCAGTTCAATTACTTCTGACTGTGCTTGGAAGTGCTTCCGTTCCTCCTTCCAAGATCATTTACACAAATTTAAAATTGAGATCTTCCATGGGTAAAAATTTCAATGTTACCGCACGATTGAGGAATTGATAAGAGAAAAAGAAATATATGCCGTACAAATTGACAAAGATGTATGTGTACAGTTTGATTTCACACGGGCAGCACGGTGGCTCAGTTCGGCGGCACGATGGTTCAGTGATTAGCACTGCTGCCTCACAGCGCCAGGGACCCAGATTCGATTCCACCCTTGGGCAACTGGCTGTGTGGGTTTCCTCTGTGTGCACCAGTCTCCTTCCACAGTCCAAAGAGGTGTAGGGTAGGTGGATTGGCCATGCTAAATTGCCCATAGTGTCCAGGGATGTTTAGGTTAGGTAGGTTACACATGGAAAATACTGGGGTAGGGGAATGGGTCTGGGTGGGATGCTCTTCGGAGAGTCGGTGTGGACTTATTGAGCTGAATGGCCTGTTTCCATTCTGTAGGGATTCTATGATTCTATATTGCATATATTATTTTAGATTTATACTATGCAGCTTAAAGATATAATCAAAAAACTGGAAAATGTACTTTTAAAATGAAAATGGCCTTCCAAGCAACCTTCATTTTGAAAGTCCTATTCTAAAATTAATGTTTAATGCTGTGCAAATTCACTTCAAAATTGTACTTTTGACCAACTGAAAAAGTAAGCAGAAATTATTTCAGGTAAACATTAGGTCTATGTACAATAATTATATAGCTATACCAAGATATTTAATTTTTACAGTAATCATTCTAAACTTTTGAGTTTCCACTTATTCAAATGCCATTAGTTGGATCATGTTTTAAATAACTGGAAGTGTATTAAGTGTTTTAGAGTTGAATACAAATTTTTTGAGAAAAGCCAATCGAATAACCAGATGTCTAGTAATAAAAATAGTCTATACTTCCAGATGGTCGCAGGTTTTAGTAATAAGGCTGCCTGACAACAACATTAACATACAATGTTTGTAGTGAATTTTGACCGGGCTTGGCCAGATCATGAAATGAAAAATCTAGCCATGGTTATATCTGTAACTTTCCAGACTTTTCCTGCTGTTTGAATTTTACAAGTAAAACGAAATTTGGAAAGGAAGAGGAAGGAGGACAGAAATGCTGTTACAAAAATGGGATTTCTCCAAAATAACACACAAGTACTGTAAAGAACCAAATCTAGGGTCCATCTATAGACAAATGGTACTACCAGCTGCTAAATTACTATTATTTTGGGCTGTTACATGTCTGAACCTATTTTAGCAATTGATTAAAATTAAAGTACTAACTGGATTTTTGAGAACATCATCATCTACATCAAAGTTTGAAGTGTCTGTTGGACTGCTGACTTCAGGAATATAAGGTGCTTCAATATTTCTGATGTTATTCCAATCAATCCCTTTGAAAAAGGAATGCTTTTTGAAATCTTCCATTCCATTTTTTCCAATACGATGTTCTCTACTGCAGATTAATTGCTGTATCAAATCCTTGGCTTCGTCAGACACATCAGTGATGTGAGATGGAAACTGGAATCGTTCCTGTCAAACAAGATGCAGACTAGATGTTATTGTCAATAACACCCAAGCAAAAACAGCTTAGTAAGAGTCTTTTCCATACACAAAATATGGTGCGTTCTATCTGTATTGACAGAACACCTGAAAATGAAATTAGCTTAGATGCGAAGTTTATTATTTTCCTTGAAGTATGGACTTCTTTTTCAAAATCAGAAAACTAGCTGTATGCAATCAGAATGGGGCCACAAGATCCAATGAGCAATCCCTAACGGCACGCTAAACGTTTTACAAATCAGAATTTAAATTAAAACATATTGTAACCATTTGAGAAGCTTATCATAATCCACTGCAATATCCAATGTCAAATTGCAGAATCATTCTTCTACTGTGAATGCTGTGGTTCTGCGCAAATAGTTTATTACACACAATTTTAGAAATGCCTGCCTTTAAAAAAATGGTTCTTACTTGGTGATTCATAATTTTCCCATATGTTTCTACCAGTGATTCTGCATAAAATGGTGTTTCGCCAACAAGCATTTCATACATGCATACACCAAGAGACCACCAATCGCATTCTGGTCCATACTTTCCCATTCCATCTTCCATTGCTTGCAAGATTTCTGGAGAGATGTAGTCAGGAGTACCAACTGCCACAGAAGATTGTACCTAAGCAACAGAAACAGGAAATCATCAGAAACCGCATCATTCGTGCACACTTTACTCTAACAAAAAAAACAGACAATAACATGTTATTTGTTTAAAGATGCACATCCAGGCATTTCATACAAAGAGACAACTGATGTATAAAGTTTTCTCAAACATTATAAAATGAAATGCATTGGCTTTTAGCTGTTATTGCAGAATCTTTTTGAGATTTCACTCGGGTTGTGAGCACTGTCAGCCAGACCAAATTTGTTGTCAGTCACTAATTACCCTCAACATGTCATAAACCACATTCTTGAACGTCTTTGATCCACGAGTTTCACGTACATCATCAACCATTAGTAGATGTCATTCCAAAACTTGGAACAACAACATAGTTCCAAATTAGGATGGTGAATAGCTTGGAGGGGAATGTTCAGGTGGTAGTGTCTACAAATGATGCTCCCTTTGCTCTTCTGGATGGTAGAAGTCACTGGTGAGGGACGCTTAAAAATTTCTTTGATTGTTCTTTCAGATTGTTGCAGCAGTGCATTCAGTACACTGGTGCTGGACATAATGAATGTTTCAAGTGGTGGGATTTTGCACAATTACTGTGAAGTAGCATTGCATAACTAATATAAGATACAATTACAGAATCTGTCTCGCTCCTTCACCCGATTTAAAACATCACCTTATCAAAACCTCACTTTCTACCCCTAGCATTTTGTTTTTAATTAAAATCTCAGTAATCTTATTTTTCTCCAGAGTTACTGCTTTTAATTAGAAAAGAGAAGAAACTTATTAACGCTGCTGTTTGGCAGGCATCAGTTACAGGAAGTCATGTTTATAACTAGACAGAACAAATTATGTTTCAAGATGATTTCAACCGGACACCGAAAGAAATAAACAGATTTAAGATTACCAAAAACATGACAAAAAATTGGTTATAATGTTTGAGTAGATTTGTAGCTTGGGTTGTGGATGCTGTGGTTGGTTTGCTTGCTGAGCTGGTTTGTTAGCTCGCAGATGTACCATCAGGGTAATGAAACATCTGCAAATTAACGAACCAGCTCGGTGAGCAAACCAACCACAAAATTGGGTATAACCAAAACTTTGCAGTCGTTTTCCTTGAGAATAGCAAACTATTGACTGCACTGTAAAATATTGCACATTCTATAATATAAACTATTTCCTGAATGTTTCTATGATATACAGTAGACACTGCAGCTATTCAAATATACACCTAGAACATTTTTCCAGAAACAGTACTCACAGTGCCATCATTCATTAACTTCAGGCAGGAACCAAAGTCAGCAAGACGTATATGTCCATTCATGTCCAGCAAAACATTATCAGGCTTTATGTCCCTGTTTAAGAAAGAGAAACATTACCAAAAGGGGGAGATTCAGGGAAACAAAGCACAAATATTTATACTGATTATTCATCTCCATGTTGCTTCACTACTTATATACAAAAAATACTTGACTGATATTTAAAAGAAAAGAATGTTGTTAATATTGCAGCTAAACAAAATCAGTGAACAAAGAAAGAATGAACTCCATTAATAATGTTTACATAGGTGACAAAGGACTACGTCACAGTCATGAGAGTCTGTTGTATTACTTTTTTTTAAATATAAAGGGGTCCTGAAACTGATCTCTCTTCCATACACTAATGGTCTTACAGCCACACTGTACTGAAGAGTCGACAACACTATCAAGGAAGGCTGAATTAAAGAAAGGAAATTCCTTTGTTTTCAGTTACATTTTCTCCATGTAGATTTCCTTAGTCTGTATTATTGGAGGACAATGTATCCTCAGTTGCAATGGATAAACTACTGAGGCAATATTAGACACTAATGTTTTTACACAGCTCCAGGTTAAGAAAATCAATGATAGTTTCATGACTTGCTTTATATTCCAGATTTACTTATTGAATTTAAATTCAAACAGCTGCTGTGGTAGTGTTGTGACCCATGCCCCAAGACCCGAGGCCTCAATTATTAGTCCAGTGACATTAGCACTACAAATGCCTCCTATTTTGCCATCAACACAACTGATGCTAAAACAATGGATTCCATCACCCATGTCAATTTGAAGTTAATGTGCCATTCTTCTCAAATCTGCTTTGAACCGTGACTCTTTGCATTGTGTACCATTGAAATTTAGGTTATTATTCTTTGTATATTTTTAAAATATACCTGATTACTGTATGCAACTTTTAAACAGAAAATGTTTTCACATTAGAAAACATCATTAGAAGCAGGCAAGCATATTGGCAAATATCGCTACCATCGTGTTGCAGTACTTCAAAGGTCTAAGTAGCTCCACATCCAAGAGTAACCATATCTCTGTTATCTATTTAACATTTCTTTTTCTGGTTTATGAAATGTGGTGTAAAGTCAGCATTTGTTCAACTCCAAATGTCCTTGCTTTTTTGAACTGTTGCAATCTGTTTAGAATTGGTCACCCCCACAATATCAGTACAAACAAGGCACCCAGAAGTTTAGTTAAATTCAACATTCTAAGAAATAGGACAAAAAGGCGCTGATGTAGTCTCAATCCTTACATGATTTGGCCCCTTAATGGAGTACTTAAACCAAATTTTTATGTATTTCAGTGAATGGAACGTAAAAGTTAAATATTTGCAATTTTAATATGATTTAATTCAACATTACCCTTTTCAATATCCTGTCTACAATTTCATTATTTGTTGAAGTTCCTTGTCTATTTTTTCCTTATAACTCATGAAAAAGGAGTTACAACAATATGGACTTTCACGATTTTCACTTTCAAACATTACAGGCTAAAAAAAATGCAGAAAATACAGCTAACGATACATCTGCTAGCTCTACTTGGATGGCAGAGAGACGTGCCTACATGTGTAAAGACTCAAAATACCACTTTGCAAACAGGCAAGTTGTGAGCAAGTTCTAGCTTCAGAGAGAAACAGCAGAGGGAGCAAAAATTTTGAAAGGACTCAGCATAATTGACTGCTTTGTAGAATCCTCGATTCTTCAAAATTAGCATACCATCATTTTTAACTTTGAATTGTATGAAGAAATCCGGCTAAGAATTCCGTGCACAGAACTCCAAAAAGGCAGCTCAGAGAGGAGTTTAAACCGGGGAAGACAAGGAAAGAAAGGTATACAGAATCCAAATATTGTTCTGTTTCGGAAAGTTAAGCAGTATGTAAGTGCCAAAACTACAGAAATGGTATCTGAGAGAGAGAGCACACGCGGGAGCGAAGGTTGGAGGAAGTGGGCGGGGGGGGTTTAAAGGCAGGTGGGTGAGAAGGGAGGGATCTAGGGCACCAAGTGGGTGTAGGTTGCAGGGTATCAGATAAGTAGATTAGTGTTTAGGGTAGGTTGGGGCCAGTGGATCAGAGTTGTAATATCACATCTGGCAGCATCAAGTCAGTGGGGGTATTAAGTCCAGGAATGTGAGGGGTCATTTGGGGTGGAGATGGTGAGTGGTTCCACAATTAACACCAGGTTTTATTCTTCTAACTTTTTTCTGGATAGCTATTAAGCTTAAATGAATCGAAACCCTGCAAAATTTCAAACTCCAACTCGGAGCTGGGACATTTTTGGAAGGAAATATCAATTTTCCAGGTTATTCCAACGGTGCAGCTGCATATCGGCAATTTATACTGCTAGAATGACTATTCCACTTTCAGAAGTTTTGAGCCCTCATTTTAAGTAAGAAACTTGGTTATGACCAAATTGATTTCCAACATCATCTTCTGAATATTCAACTATAGGTTTTTCATCAGTAGATGGAATCTTTTCTGAACCAAAAATCTTATTTAATGCTGAACAGACAGTTTGCATTGACCAGATCTTGTGACCCTTGACTGAGAGAAGGTCACCTTAATCAGAAAGTTTCTTATAGTCACTAGGCCACCAGCAAGTACACAAATAGATCACAAGTCATTCACACTCCCAAAGCTGAAATATCTTTGCCATGACTAAAACCTCATAATCAGAACTATATTTCTCTCTTGTTCATGTAAAGCTACTTCATTTGAAGTAGACAAAGAAACCAAAAATGTTAACAGCTTTAAACATTAAAAAGCAATGGTTCCTAATGGCACAATAGATTGCTTTTTCAAAAACAGTAATTGAACTTTTCAAAAAACTGTAATTGGAGAGATGGAAGTGTGCAAATCATGATTCCCTGGAGAAAGTTTGACAAAAATTCTAACTTCAAATTGTGTAATTCTGAGTGCCATTAGTGCAAGGGTTACAGTGTTGTTGCAACTGTCGCTATTGAAATTAAGCTGATATTCGGCGATCAAGTATTGACACTGAAAATTAAATTAAATTTTAAATCTCTTCAATTCAATGTAGCAAAGTAGCTAGACAAAGTCAGAATTATAAAAACTGTTAATATATGCATTGTAGGAAGTTCACGACTATACAGACACATGTCCTTCGTATCTGCAACCTTGATGTGTGGCTTTTTAGTAAGAGAGGATTGAATTGTTTTTGATCACCTGAAATCGAAATAAAGCTCCCATTACAAATATAAATTTACATGGTGGCAATTTAAATTTGCTAAAAGTTACTTTTAAAAACTACTTGCTCAAATAGTATTTTAACAATGAGAACCCTTTTCTCAATTAAAAAATAATTAATTTTCACCGGATCATTCGGCAACTTATGAAACCCATTAGCGTAGTCTTCTATGAATTTTATAAACAAACATTTCATTCTTTTCTCATTCTGGCTTCTCTTTTGTAACCCTAGCTGCACATTTCACTTTTTCTTTATGGTCTGTTTAGTTCTAGCTTTATATTTGTCTTGCAAAGCACTGCCTATGTAGGTTTATACAGGGTCCAACAGCATGAGTGTTTTAAACACTTATATCAAAATTCTTTAGACACCAATTTAAGTACTACGGAAACCCAGCACATAACTACTGCATCTTTTATTCTATTCATCTGTGGGATGCGGGTATCGCTGGCTGGCCAGCGCTTCTTGCCCATCCCCACTTGCCCTTGAGAAGTGTCTTCTTGAACCGCTGCAGTCCACCTGCTATAGGTTGACTCACAAAAACATTAGGGAGGGAATTCCAGGATTTTGACCCAATGACAATTAAGGAACAGTGATATATTTCCAAGTCAGGATGGTGAGTGGCTTGGAGGGGAACTTGAAGGTGGTGGTGTTCCCATACGACCACTGCCCGTGTCCTTCTAGATGGGAGTGGTCGTGGGTTTGGAAGGTGCTGTCTGAGGATCTTTGGTGAATTTCTGCAGTGCATCTTGTAGATAGCACACACTGCTACTACTGAGCGTCGGTGGTGAAGGGGGTGGATGCTTGTGGATGTAGTGCCAATCAAGTAGGTTGCTTTGTCCTGGATGGTGTCAGGCTTCATTAGTGTTGTTGGAGTTGCACATATGCAGGTAGTGGAGAGTATTCAATCACACTCCTAACTTGTGCCTTGTAGATGGTGGACAGGCTTTGAGTCAGTGGTGAGTTACTCACTGCAGTATTCCTAGCTTCTGGCCTGCTCTGGTAGCCACTGTGTTTATGTGATGAGTCCAGTTGAGTTTCTGGTCAATGATAACACCCAGGATGTTTATAGTGGGGGATTCCGTCATGGTAACACCATTGAATGTCAAGGGGTTGCGGTTAGATTGTCTCTTATTGGCAATGGTCATAGCCTGGCAGTTGTGTGGCTTGAATGTCATTTGCCACTGGTCAGCCCAAGCCTGGATATTGTCCAGATCTTGTTGCATTTGAACACTGACTGCTTCAGCATCTGAGTTGTCGCAAACGGGCGGCAAGTTGGCTCCGTGGTTAGCACTGCTGCCTCACAACACCAGGGACCCGGGTTCGATTCCGCTCTTGGGCAACTGGCTGTGTGGAGTTGGAACATTCTCCCCATATCTGCATGGGTTTCCTCCGGGTGCTCTGGTTTCCTCCCACAATCCAAAGATGTGCAGGCTAGGTGGATTGGCCATGCTAAATTGCCCGTAGTGTCCAGGGTCGTGTAAATTAGATGGATTAAACACAAGAACTGCCAGGTTACAGGGAAAGGGTAGGAGAATGGGTCTGGGTGGGCGCTCTTCAGAGGGGCAGTGTGGACTTGTTGGACTGAATGGCCTGTTTCTATGACCACAGAATCATAGCGATTCTATGATTTTATGAAATGGTGCTTAACATTGCGCAATCAATCATCGGTGAACATCCCCACTTCTGACCTTATGATGGAGGGAAGGTCATTGATGAAGCAGCTGAAGGCGGTTGGACTGAGGACACTACCCTGAGGAACTCCTGCAGAGATGTCCTGGAGCTGAGACGATTGACCTTCAACAACCACGACCATCTTTCTATGTGTCAGGCATGACTCCAATCACCGGAGAGTTTGTCCTCTGATACCCATTGATTCCAGTTTTGCTATGGCTCCTTGATGCCACACTCAGTCGAATGCCACCTTGATGTCAAGGGCTATCACACTCACCTCATCTCTGGAATTCAGCTCTTTTGTCCATGTTTGAACCAAGGCTATAATGAGGTCAGGAGCTGAGTGACCCTGGCAGAACCCAAACTGGGCGTCACTGAGCAGGTTTTTGCCAAGAAGGTGCTGCTTGATGGCACTGTTGACGACACCTTCCATCACTTAACTGATGATCAAGAGTAGACTGATGGGGTGGTAATTGGCCGGGTTGAATTTGTCCTGTGTTGTGTGTACAGGGCATACTTGGGCAATTTTCCACATTGTCAGCTAGATACCAGTGTTGTAACTATACTGGAACAGCTTGGCATCTAAAGAATGTTTTGGTTTATTCTGTGCTCATATTCATTCTTCCTTTTTGTTCTTTTATCCACTCAAACCCTTGCTCAAACTTATTACATTTCTAACTTTTCAGAATTCTGATAAAAGGCCACACGCCAGAAATTTTAACCTGCTTTTCTCACCACAGATGCTGTCAGACCTGCTGCGCATTTCCAGCATTTTCTGATTTCATGTAGGTTGTATTCAACTATACGATGATCATTCAGATTGTTTCAAAGCCCCAAATTTGGCTTCATAAAGAGCAAAATAGCTTGGATAACAGCCTACTGTTCAAAAATATTTCAACAGAAATATTTGAGATGACCAGTGGATATGAAAGGTAGAATGTAAATACAAAACTGCCCTTTACAGGTGCCAGTCTACTGACTACACAAGTTAAGAGCAGGAATAAGCCATCCAGTTCCTCTTGTCTGCTTTGCCTTTCAATAGATAGCAGTTGATCTAAACGTGACCTCAATTCCACTTTTCCACCTACTCCGGATAACCTTAGATTCTTGAATCTCAAGGGATTAAAAGTATTAGACAACTCTATCTTTAATTCTCACTCGGGAAGCGAGTACCAATGACTTGAAAAGGAACATTTCTCATCTCCAATCTTAAATAGGAGGCTCCTTTTTTTTAAAAAAAAAAAAGAATTGTGTCACCTGGTTCTAGTCTCTCCCAGACGGATCCTTTCAGCATCTACCCAGTCAAGTTATTGCCATTTCCAGTGTCTCTACTGGTTTCTTGATACCACATGAAGTGAACTAAATTGGTTGAAGACTGGCATTTGTGATGCTGTGAACTTCAAGAGGTTGAGGTTGATCATCCACTCAGCAATTCTGGCTGAAGATGGATGCAAATGCTTCAGCCTTGTTTTTGTTTTTAAAAACTAATGTGCTCACTTTACCCCTCCTCCTCTACTAATGAAAATGGGGATACTTGTGAAGCCTCCAGTTCCTGTTAGTTGTTTAATAGTCCACCATCATTCACTGGATGTAGTGAGATCACAGATCTTAGATCTGAGCCAGTGACTGTGGAATCATTTCATTCTGACACCTCCACGCTGCTTCTATTTGACATGCAGGGAGTCCTGTACTGTGTCTTCACCAGGTCGACACCTTATTTTTAAGTATGCCTGATGTTGCTCCTGGGATGCTCACTTGCACTCTTCATTTAATCAGAGTTGATTTCCTGGCTTGATGGAAACGGTGAAATGGATGATACGCCAGGGAGGCTACGGGATAACCTAGGGCCCATTTCCAAAGGTGCTATTAACAAATTTCTCATATCAGTGAAACGTGGATCAAAACTAAACATTTTGCTCTCCAAAGATTCAGCAGTCGCCAATAATTCACCCAAATAGGTGGGTATTATTCATGTCTGAACATTGCTAGTGAGTGTTAGCATCAATTTATCACAACCACAGCAATAAAAAGGACAATGCAATTCCCTCCATTCCCACCAATTCTGATGAGCTCCAACAAGTATGCATATGTAACATTTGGGCATGAACAATCTTTGGTTAGCTGAGATGCCCTGATATTAAATTGCTCGCTGATGTTCACCATTATGGCTCAAACACAAGTTAACAGTCACTTGGATGACTTGATGGCAAGTGCATAGCACCTGTGCTATCATACCTAGGAAGCAGGGTGGGAGAAAAAAGGGAGACGTAGGACATAATGAGATGGCAAGAAAAAAAAGAGACATCAGCCAATATTGGACACAGATATATAGAAAAAATATACAAATACCTGTGCACATAATGCAACTGGTGAATGGAGTCGATAGCTAACACCATTTCTGCTATGTAAAATTTGGACATTTCTTCTGGAAGTCGGTCTTCAAACTTGCTGAGCAATGTCAGTAGATCCCCACCCACATAGTAGTCCATGACTAAATACTAAAAATACACAAAAATGCACTTAATATGACACTATAAATAATATGTTTGAACTTTATACATACTTGGTTAAAAAGAAGACAAATCAGTAAACAAAATGATTATTACTGACCAGAATCCTGCAGTTTAACAATTTAAGATACACTTTTCTTTGAAAAGAACGTCTATGTCATGCTTATTGTTTTGTTAATCTATTTCAAGTGAAAGTAGACTTACCAAGTAGTTATCATCTTGGAAGGCATAGTGTAAGGTAGTAATCCACTGGCAATCACCATTCACCAGAACATTCCTTTCTTCTCGAAAACAAGCGGTCTTTACAAAAGGAAGTCTTTTATAAGTTTGACTGCATATATTTAGTGAGGTTGCATTATTTCCTGCATTAATTGTAAGTTTAAACTTACATGCAGACAATTCAAGTGGACTACTGGTCTGACCAGGAAATAAATTCGTCTGATAACTAAAAGGGATTAATAAACTGAAGAAAAGCAAGCTCACAATTAAAGTTTCACAATTTAAAAATTATTTTAAAACAGAAAGGTTCCATTCTGAGTCACTGTTAAGATTTCACAGACTGCCCTTCTTTCCATTCTGACTATAATTGAGGTTAATTGTTAGCTAATGATATGGTTTACTTAGTACTAATCATTGGCTCCTGTGGCACAGTAATACCGTCCTTACTTCTGACCAAGGTTCAAGTTCCACCTGCTCCAAAGGCAAGTAATAACATCTTTAAAAAGGTTGATCAGAAAATATTTACTGCTAATCATTAGTCTGGCAACAAATGTTTATTGAAATTAAGGTGTGGATTCAAAACTAAAAACAATGGCTGCATTATACCACTAACATCAGGTGTCAACAGGAAATTGTTACTTTCAGTATTAGTAGCAATGTTTTAGAATTGTAGTGTAATTAAAATGCTGCTACTGGTTCATTTATAAAGACTATTTGTAAAGCAAGACAACCATAAATCTGCCTGAAATATATTGAGTATATACTTTTAAGGCAGAGATGTCATACATTTTCAAATGAAATCCAAATAAACTGAGCAAATGAAGTGAGTTTGGGAAAAAAAATAATCAATTCTGTGGCATCATGTGCTTACAGGCTGTGAATCCCTCTCCAGCTCTGTTCTTTTTTCCTCTGACTGCAAAGAGGAAAGACTGAGGGCATACAGGCAAATCAGAAAGGAAAAATTCACAGGAGGGCAAAGTAGGAAAAAACAGTGTGATCAAATTAATTCAGAAAAATTAGGGTTTGGACAATAGTAAATATTTTGCTGTAGTAATGATTTTCAACATCACTAGTTAACTAAAGTTTCAACCACATTACACTGGAAGCTTTAATGGAGGCGAACTCTCCATAGTGGAATTTAAAACCAAGCGTCTGCAAATATAGATGAGTGTTATTCACACAGGATTGAGTAATCTTCCAGCCCCAGCAGAAAACGACCAGGACATAGTGGCACATATCCCCGATTAGCTTTTTGTCATCCTTTTCCTAGATCTGCTAAACAATCACTATGGCAGATTTGGAATTATAGGTCACCGAGTATTCATTTTAAAATATAACCCATTATAATGGCCAGAAAGCCAAGTAGGTGATTGTAGATTAAAGTATTGCACTACCTAAGTGATTTGTTCAAAGAACACTGCACTTCCAACAGGTTTTATGGAAAGAACTGCGAATGCATTATCAAAAAATAATACTTTTTAACCAAAACGTTTTCACTCTGTAGTTTCTAAAACTTCCGAGTAGAAGATGCCTCGAAGTAACTGTCAAATTTCATTTAAAAAAAAAGTAGGTAAATCCTTACTCTGTCAGTATTTTCTTTCCTTGAAAAAACCCTTGATGTGAATGTAACTGGATGGCAAGTCAAATCCAGTCTATCACCAAAGTCACGATGTTTCCTTTTCAATGCATCAGCACAATTGTCAGTAAAAAGAAAAAAAAAGGCAGTAAAGTTTCTTCCTTACTGCCACTATATGATTTATAGAAGTCCCCTTTAATATCAGATATCAAAATGTATACTCTGACCCTTCACAAGCAATGTATATAATTGATATTTTAGTTATAAAAATTCATCTTGTGAGCATAATCCTTCTAGCTTAAATCAACCTTCTACGCCAATGCTGGCTTGCAAGGATTGGGTAGTTCAGTTGGCTGGATGGCTAGTTTGTGATGCAGTGTGATGCCAACAATGCATGTCCAACTTGCATACTGGTTAAGATCACCATGAGGGCCTGCTTCTCAACCTCGCCACTCACCTGCGATAGAGGGACTAGAGGATAGAGGATTAAACTCACCGCCAGTTGTCTCTCTCAGGATAGGAGTAGCCTATGGTTCTCTGGGAATATGACGAATCGCAACAACCATGTTAAATTTTTTATGCTGATGTTTCAGATATTCAAGATTTATCCAATTTCAGGCATGTTTGATAATAATAGTTAGAATTTGCAATTACAAACCAGCTTAAGCAGAAACTGTCAAAACATTTATTTTGAAAGGCCGCTCTGCTGAGGAAGTGAACGTATTGCAATAGCACTCATTTTGACAGAGTCCTGAAAATTATTTCCCAGCTAAATTTCTCTTTTTAGAAAGGAAAAGAAGCTTTTTTCAAAAAATCAGAAGGGATGTACACAGTTAGTTGTGGAATCATATCATGTCACGATCATAAGATTCAACTGTGAGGACTGTGCCATGGCACATTTTCCCCGGAACTCAAAGCATCAATGTATTTGTATGGTGATCCATCCCAAAATGGAAATTTTGGATTATTAGTACACACCGAAATCTACATCAAACTGAGCTTACCTCAGCACGTTTCAGCATCTCCCACTTATTGAGTATTTTCATAGCATAAACACGTTCAGTGTTTTTCATCTTCACAACTGCCACCTGTAAGGAACAAAATTCTGAAATCTCAATCTCAGTTTATAAATCATTAGTCAATTCAAACCTAACAAAGGACAGATTCCATATATAATTTAACTATTTGTTCTGTAAGCAAGTCATGGTCATACACTTTTCCAAAAAAATTTAACACATTTTGATTAATTTTACTGAATCAAAGAGTGTACAGCAGAGAAGGCAGCAACCTGGGATATCATGATATTGCATCAACTCTTTCAAACAGCAAGTCAGAATTGCCTGGTTCTTTACCTAGAAGCCAGTAATTTTGTTTTGAGTCCTGAAGAAGGGTAATACCTGAAACGTTGACTGCTCCTTTCCTCCAGATGCTGCCTGGCCTGCTGTCTTCTTCCAGCCTCCTGTCTGTCTACTTTGGATCCTAGCATCTGCAGTTTTTTTTGTGTCTAAACATTTTTTTTCTCTCATTCAGTGTTTATCCAATAGCCTTTTGAAACTTACAGGTGAATCTATTTCCATTACTCTATCAGGCAGTACATTCCAAATCAAAATTATTTGTGAGAAAATATAATTCCTTGTATGGCCCTGGTTCTTCTTCCAATCACTATAAATCTGTATCATCTGGTTGTTGACCTGTTAGCCATCAAGCCAGCTCAATACATTTGTCCAAAGTTGATATTTAATTCAATAAGTTAGATTTTGCATGTTGAAGATGCATATTGTAACCAAGAAGCAAAAAGTATTTTTCATCAGCTTCTAGCAATTTCTGCTCAGCTGTTTTTCCAAACTATATGCAGAATTTGAAAATTTGAAAAGCTTTATTCACAAATCTTGTGTGTAAAACTGACAGACCATAAAGACTATAAATTGGAATTCATTTAAAATTAAATCAGTAAAGAATCAAATTGAATCTTTAGGTAATTAGAAGTTTTTAAATCATCATTATCAGTTGTTTGGTTGAAGTAGGAAATGTAAACATTTTAATGACTAACAACTGTAACAGAGGAGAAAAACCAAAACCCTGTATCAAGGCCACCTCATTTTGCCGTACTCCAGCAACCACACTGAAGTAATTTGAAATGCCAGGGACAGCTCCAGGTGAAGCAAAATCAGAGTCCATAAATTTTAAGCTAGTTATGGATAAGGATAAAACTGGTCCTCAGGTGAAAGTGTTAAATTTGGGTAAGGCCAATTTCAGTAGCATTAGGCAGGAACTGGAAAAATTAGATTGGGAGCAGCTGTTTGAGGGTAAATCCATATCTGACATGTGGAAGTCTTTTAAAAATCAGTTGATGGTAGTTCAGGACCAGCATTTTCCTGTGGGGATGGCAAGGTTCAAGAACACTGGTTAATAGGAGATAGTGAAAGTTTAGTGAAATAAAAAAGGAAGCATAAGTAAGGTTTAGGCAACTGAAATCAGACAAAACCCTTGAGGAATACAAAGGAAGCAGGGAATAACTTAAACAAGGAATTAGGAGGGCTAAAAATAGCCATGAAATGCCCTTGGTAAGAGATTAAGGAGAATCCCGAGGCATTTTAGGAGCAAGGGGGAGCTAGGGAAAGGGTAGGTCCATTAAAGGAAGGAACTTACGCATGAAGCCACAGGAAGTGAGTGAGGTCCTTAACCAGTATTTTGCACTGGTATTCACCAAGATGATGATCGTGGATAATGATAAAATTAGGCAGCGGCATGTCGATATTAAGGTGGTGGTGGTGCTGGGTGTTTTGAAAAACATTAAGGTAGTTAAGTTGCCAGGACTTGATGGGATCTATCCTAGGATACTGAGGGAGGCAAGGGACGAGATTGCTGGGGCCTTGACAGAGATCTCTGTATCTTCTTTAGCCACAGACGAGGTCCCAGAATACTGGAGAATAGCCAATATTGTTCATTTGCTTAAAATGTACAACAGGGATAATCCAGAAAATAACAGACTGATGAGCCTTACGTTAGTGCTGGGGAAATTAGTGAAGATTCTTCGTGAAAGAATTCACTCATTTTTGGAAAAGAATGCACTTATTAGAAATTGTCAGCATGGCTTTGTGCTGGACAGGTCTTGTCTCACAAATCTGATTTGAATTTTTTGAGGAAATGACAAATATAATTGATATGGGTAGAGCAGTGGATATAGTTTACCTGCACCTTACTACAGCATTTGGCAAGATCCCTCATGGTAGGTTGGTCCAGAAGATTAAGTCATGTGGGATTCATGGTGAGTTAAGATGGATACAAAATTGGCTTGGTCGTAGAGGACAGAGGGTATTTGTGGAGGACTGTTATTCTGACTGGAAATCTGTGACCAGTGGTGTTCTATAAGGATTAGTGCCGAGATCTCTGTTGTTTGCAATACATGATAAATAAATGACAGCTGAAAATGTATGTGGTCTGTTTAATTAAGTTTGCAGAAGACATAAAAATTGGAGGAGTTGAGGTTATTGAGGAACTTTGTCAAAGGATACAGCAGGATATAGATCAGTTGGAAAGTTTGGCAAAGAAATGGCAGGTGGAGTTTAATCCAGACAAGTGTGAGGTGGTGCATTCTGGGAAGTCAAATACAAGAGGAAAGTATACAGTAAACGGCAGGACCCTTGATGTACAGAAGGATCTTGGGCTGCAAGTCCATAGTTCCCTGAAAGTGGTAACATAAGTGGATAAGGTGATAAAGGCATATGGCATGTTTACCTACATTGGTTGGGGCACTGGGTATAAAAGTTGGCAAGTTAAGCTGCAGCTGGGCCAATGGGACGAAGAATGGCGGATGGAGTTTAATTTAGATAAATGCCAGGTGTTTCATTTTGGTACAACAAAAGGGCAGGACTTTCACAGTTAAGGTGGGGCCCTGGGGAGTGCTATCAAACAGAGGGGCTAGGGGTACACGTACATAGTTCCTTGAAAGTGGCACCACAGGTAGACAAGTTAGTGATAAAGGTGATTGGCACACTTGCCTTCATTGGTCAGAGCATTGAGTATAGGAGTTAGGACATCATGTTAAGACACTGGCGAGGCCACGTTTAGAGTACTGCATACAATTCGAATTCTCCAGCTATGGGAAGGATGCTGTTAAACTGGAAAGGGTGCAGAAAAGATCGACAAGGATGTTACCGAGATCGAAGCGTTTCAGTTATTAGGAGACACTGGACAGGCTTGGACTTTTTCACTTGGAGCATAGGAGGCTGAGGAGTGACCTTACAGAAGTTTATAAAATCATTGATAAGGTGAATAGCCAAGGTCTTTTCCCCAGGTTAGGGAAGTCTAAAACTAGAGGAATAGGTTTAAAGTGAGATGGGAAAGATATAAAACAGACCTCAGAAGCAACTTTTTCACACAAAAGGGTGGTTATATACGGAAGTGGTAGAGGCAAGTACAATTACAACATTTAAAAGACATTTGGACAGGTACAAGAATAGGATAGGTTTAGAGGGATATGGGCCAAATGCAGGCAAATTTAACTAGTTCAGTTCAGGAAACCTGGTCAACATGGATAAGTTGGACCAAAAGGGGCTGTTTTTGTGCTGTATTACTCTATGACATTTTTCCTCAGGGTGCAAGTGTCAAACACTAGGGGGCACAGGTTGAAAGTTAGAGGTGAAAAGTTCAAAGGAAATGTGCGAGGCAATTTATTTACACAGATGATGGTAGGTGCCTGCAGTACACTGCCAGAAGAGGTGGGAGAAGCAGATACGATAGCAATGTTTAAGAGGCACTTAGACAGACGCATGAACAGGCAGGGAATCGAGGGATATGGACCCATGTACAAGCAAGAGCGATTAGTTTAGAATGGCATCGGGGTCGGCACTGTCATGGTGTCTGAAGACCCTGTTCCTGTGCTGTACTGTTCTATGTTCTAGTCATTCCACGAGTACTACTATATACTAGTGACAATTACCTCTCAACTACTGCATCTCATGTACCAACTTGTTTCGTGTTGTCACTTTAAAGGTTAAACAGAGATAAAAAGACCATTTCAGTCATCAGATAATAATAGTGTTATGGAATGTAAGTTGTGTCGGTACCAGTTGAAAGAAACACAATATGGTGAAAACATTAATTCAGTCACTAATCAATGGCCCTGATCGCACATTAAATGCATTGAGTTTTATGAAAAAGGTGTATCCGTTGTCTTATTATGAGCAATGCCACAGAAGATCTACTTAGTATTTTGTAACTATTTCATAACATTGCTAAAAGAATTATAACAGGTCATGTTTTGGTTATTAATTCCTATTCCAAAATAAATGGGAAAATCTACTTTAAATGTGCTGACATTTCTCTGCAGTGTTATTATTCTCTGTAAATTATTCTCAGATCAGAATAATGTAAAAGGTAAATAATTACTATGAGTTTTATTCTTCACTAAAAATGAGGCTTCTAACCCTGAACCAAAGAGCTGGAACAAACTAGTTACGGTGATAAAAGACCTGTTGCAGAGAACTGTCCAGTAAGTATCACCACTCAGCATCATAAAAATCAATTTCTGCTCTCACTGTACAGTGCACAGTGTTGTTCAATACCCCTCCCGCAAGTGAACTCTTCTATGAAGGTGCTGGAAGCCCAAAATCCCAAAAACACCTCCTCCATCCACTGCCTCAGAACGATTATTATTACTCTCAACTAACTTTTTACCTTTGTTGTAAAATCCTTCATTCTTCCTGTTTCAGAATACACTTCCCAAATGCAAATCTCTATCGACTTCTAAACTGCTGAATTGGTTAAATGGCCAATTTACTCAACCACATTTAATTGTGGCATGATCAGGCAAATCAGAAAAAATGAAAACCAACTACTCATGACTGTAATATTTTTGAATATTCATTACTCTAATTCTTCCTGGGTCCCTCATATTTCACCAAGCCAGTTTCATTTTCTCATGAGAGATAGTAGGAACTGCAGATGCTGGAAAATCTGAGATAACAAGGTGTAGAGCTGGATGAACACAGCAGGCCAAGCAGCATCATAGGAGCAGGAAGGCTGACGTTTCGGGCCTAAACCCTTCATCAGAAAAAAAACTCTTCAAAAAATCTTGAGACTAGTG